AAATTTGGATAATCAAAACGTTGTAGTACTCTGTATTCGAGATATTATCCTTGGAAATTGAATGATTGATTTTTCGAAAATAGTTTCGAATAAAATACAGTAGACGTAGTTAAGACTGCTAAGAGGAGGAATGATATAACGGTATAATTCGTATTAGAGAACAACGATTACGCAGTTTTTGAATGGCCGACCAAGTCTTTTCGATCTCGCAGCTGGGGTGTTTCTAATGAATGGACGTATATAACTTGGCGTTCGAAATCCCCAACGGCCGTTTTAAAGCCGTAAAACAAAGGGCTGATTTATTTCAGCACGCCCCTCAATCTGTCTCCGTGGACCACTTTTGATTAGTGCTGCCTCTTCAAGGTTCAAGCCTCTCTAAAACTGCCATCTCGTAATGGACCTCGTTTCTTGAATAACCGCGATACTTTTTTTTGAAATCAGACCTGGTTACATTTTTACACAGTTATTATATTATTATACTTGTCGTATAAAAATCTCGAATAAATACAGGAATTCGATAATTTCGATATTATTTTAAAAAAAATTAACTACGACTCCTTCCTCCGTAATGATAAATTTCATTTCAAAGAATCGATCCGTCCGTTAAATCGATTTCACTGTATCAAAATCTTTGGAAAGATGGGCAACCTGAGGAGAATCGAAGGAGGGGGAAAATTTGATATCAACGGAGAACAATGCGGAACCGCGATTAATAGGGCCTGTAATCGGACGCCTGACACGCGTCCCAGCCCGATATATGCAAATTCGATCGGACACGGTTTTAGAAATTCGCCGCGGCCCTCCTCGTCCGCCAACAATGCGTGACTCCATCGACAATAGGAAATAATAAACCGTGATAAATAGCCGGGCAAATACGCACGACAATCGCGGATCTCCTTTCGTCGTCCCTCGTTCCAATTTCCCTCTCTCCTTTTTCTCATTTCCAGGTGGACTGATTCATATTCCCGAGCAAACACGTTAGGCAAATATCCGCGCGGGGGTTGATGGGGTTCTTATGCGTGCCCGTGAGCAAATAACGGCGTTCATTTCCTCGCTCACGTGTCCCACCGCGTTTCGTTTCCCGATCGAGATGATTGTATTTTTTCGAATGATGCTTTTTTCTTCCTTCGTGAAGTACATTTTATATGTCATCTATATTGTCGAGCATTTTATCCAACCCTCTCTAGCCATTTGGAAATCACGTATATTCTATTTCATTTTAATCTATCTCCTCTTGATCTTGATCTTCGAAGAATCGAATTATATTTATATCATTTGATATAAATGTTATATATAACGGATACAATTGTTGAGAGATGAGATTTTGATTCTTAACGCGTTGAGAGATTCGAGATCGTGTAAGATTTGAGAAGAAAAAAGATAGTTTTTTTTTTCTTGAATGTAGATTTTTATCGAAGTGTAAAAGGGTGTAATTGCAGAGTTGGAAAAATTGTAGGCTTCATATGTTTCGTTATAGTATACGTTATTCAAAGAAATTTGATCAAACGTGTAACTCCAGCTGTATCATACGGATGAATATTCGTGTGAAAAAAAGATGAATCAAAGGATGTTGTAGACAGCTCTTTATGCATAAGAAAGAACAATGGGATGGACGTAGCACGTGTCTGATGTAATCCATACTCGACTCATATCGTAAATGTTTCTCTATGTAAAATAATTAAGGAAACAAAATATATTTAGAGATAGAGTTAAAAGTTCGAATTGAAATTCGAGAAAATCGTAAAATGAAATAAATCGTTTCCCCGTGAAAAAATTCCATCAGTAACGATCTTTTCTCGCGGCAAGTCTGAACAGCACAGGGGGAGTGGAGGGGACGAATGAAGTGGGCAAAAAGAAAAAAAAAATACCGGCATAAAATTAACAGTATACAGCTTGCAGAATGTAGTTTGTTACTCGCCGACAATATTTCACGATGGTCTCTCCTGCGAACAGAGAGAGAGAGGGTTCGGTTCTCGAGGGGGGTGTCCAACAATGGAACCCTTTACCCAGCCCCTAGCGCCCAGCCAACATCCATACATCATCATTCATACTGAAAAAAAACCTGGGGGCACCTATGGCGGCGTACACTGGAGGGGCCTTCGAAATTTCAAAGTACCGAGTACGCATCAAGTACTTTCCAATGCTGCGATGGATTTTTCGTTCTCCTTGTTCGGGAAACTTGAGTTGCACCTTTAATAGTGACAAGTTTCGTACTTATCCTTCTACTTATGATCTAATTTTATAATAATACGTATATTAATTTATAAATACCACCGCAAGAAGAATGCATTTGGAAAAGAAATATATAAAAAAGAATTATGTTAAGATGGGAATAAATAAAATATTCTTTGTGGAATATTTCTAGGAAATATTCTTTTAAATCCTAGAAATATATATGTATAAAATTTATATTTTTCGATTGAACAACAAATTGTAATTCAAAAGATGTAAAATAAAAAAAGAAAGAAAAAAAGGGGAGAAGTGAAACCAACAAAAGTCTCCACAAACAAAAGCATGAAGTTTTTACGATCATTTGATTTCCAAAAACTTTTTGCCGGCACCCTTTACCATAAAATACTACCACGCCTAGAAATACCAAAAAGGGGTTGTACCGGATAGTAAACAGTGACGTGCGAAAAATGTCACAGAAAGAGAGATAGAGAGGAAAAAAAATGAAGAATCGGAGAAAAGCGTGAAACCTTTCTGCTGTTTATGGATTATATTTTTTTTACCCCTAAAAAACTTTCGTCGCCCTTCGAAAATATAAAAGATTCTAAAACAAACCTCTTACAAAATTTTTATTTGAACTTCAACAAACAAAATTGAATTTTTTAACAAAATCACGAAATTTACAATGTTCAAGTATTTAAAATAACACTTTATTAAAGATAATTCGATTCGATCGTACGAAATGTTGAAAATTCTTTCGATTTCACGTGACACGATACTTTTGCAATTTTTTCAAGGTAAAAATTTCAAACGAAACTTTTTCTTTTATAAATGATCTTTTTCAGATCAATAAAAAACCATCGATCAATAACGATCACAGGAGAATCGATTCGACGTGTGGAGCATGAAAAAGGAGAAAAGAAGAAGGAGGACAAAATGAGAAACGTAATCCGCTTTTGGAAAAGAAACAACCCCTTCGACGAGCCGTCGCTCGTGTCACAGCACGGGTGACTGATTGTAAAACCATGGAGTAACCCGCAAAGGGTTGCCGATTCGAGGCGAGAGGGTAGACGGACAGTTTAAAATTGAGCCTCGTAATCGACGTGTAATCCTCTAAAGCCGTGACAGGCCGAAGATAATGGAGCACCGATCGTCGATGGGTGGCCAGTTTGTTTTCCATGGCGGTAAGCTCGCTCCTTAAGCGTTTTCAATGTTCGTGAAATCTGTTAGGGCTGCAAGATGTTTCTCGATTGATTAATGAAAGGTTCTTGAAAGTTATCGCTTGAATTTCTCTTCTGATTGAAGACGAGATTCGACATCGACTATTTTTTATAGAAATAATTGAAGAAATGAAAAATTTAAATATAATTGAACTAAAACAATTAAGATTATTATTTGTTTATTGAAATGACACGATATAATTATTCAGTCTTCCAGAAACTGTAATTCACATCTTTTGTGTAACACTTTTTCCCGCAGCTGTTCGAAGAACGATTGTGAAAGTGCATCCTTTTTTTTTCTCTTAGTTTTTTTAAAAACTAGCTAATCCTGGTGCAAGTGTTTCATGTTTCAGCAGAATTTACTACGGGGATTTTCACACCTAATTTTTTTTTCTTATCTTCTTAACACACTCTCCCCACGAAAATCTCTTTTTTGTTATTCGTATTTATATGAAAAAACCTGCACTGGGTTTCCTTTTTTTCAAGTTTGCCGTGAAATCCGTGTAGGGTGACGAATGGAATTAAAACTATTAGAAGCTCATTAGCATTTCTCGTTTCGATAGTTCATGATCTCGACAGAGGGGCAGAATGACGCTCGCTTTATCGCATACGAACGATTTTCATTTTGGCTGAGCGTTCGTCCGGAAAGATGTTTCTTTGGGGTGACAAAACGCAGGGGATACAGGTACCGGTGCGTGTTCAACCGAGTGTACGACTGGACGTCCATCATGTTGTCACTCGAATGATTCATTTTTCAAGTCTTAGAAAATTTTAGATTGAATTTTACAATAAATATATATTTCAAGATATTATCGCAAAACTATCATTGATGGAGATAAAATAAACGTTTTCAGTTGTATTTATCATTTTAGAAACCAAAAACCGATGTAGTTACCGTCACCTTATTGTTGATAAATCTTTTCTATCTACTATTAGTCTACTTTGGTAAAAATAAAATCGCGATTGCAGCCAATTAGCTCATATCATTTGTTATACAATATATTATTTTATTATCGCAAAACACGATGATACAATTATATATTGTATAACAATAATAATGATTGCCCAGATCTCACCTCGAGGAGGTTGCTGCAAATTGGAGACCCACCCTAACCACGTCCCATCCACCCTCCTTTACGTAAAAAAATTTATTATTCTCTTTCTAAATAAAATTCTCCTTTGGTATACGTTTGCAAAACGTTCAAACCTTTGATCGTTGTGCAACAAAAGCAACGAAAGGAGTTGAATAGAAAACCGACGCGGAAGACTAAAGCTGAAAATAATATTTAAATTAAGAAAACTTTCTATCAATATTTTACATTTCCATCGTCATGGAAATGAAAAATAATTAATAGTTAAAAGCGTAGGAAAAAAAAGAGAAAAGAAAATAAGCAAGCAAAATCCAAGCAAACCAAAAAGCACTACCATCACACAATCCACACATTATCTACTTAATTATCACCCTTATGCATGCACTTAATTCTAAGTATATTTTATTTGATCAATTTTTTTCTTAATATAATCTTCTTTTCCTGAAGAAAAAGATCCTGAAACACGATCCTGAAACAAACTTAAATACAACATTAAATACAACATTAAAACATTTCAAACATCCATCTTTTATAAAATTTCACATAAGAACATAAGAATTTTTGTTCTTATATCCTGCCTATATCGAAAATTCAAAAGAATTTTTCACTCAATCCACACAACAATCAATCAACATCAACAAATTTTCATGACACGACATGGAAGAGGAAAATGCAAACAAGGATATATGGATGATACCAATGATAGTTAATAAACGAAGTTATATAACTATCGAGTATTAAACTGAAGAGAAGATTTAGGGATGGCAATCGATTCACATTGCCTTGAAGAATAGGAAGATTATTTTCGAAAACTTTAAACCCAGAAGGAAGAGGAAGAAGGCGAGAAAAATAGGAAAGACGAAAATGTCTTTTAATAAGAGGAACAATAGAAACTCATCACTTGTGAATCCTATCTATCAGAAATATTTCCTTGATCCTATCTAATATAAAAATTGAATGATGAAAAAAGAATGAGATGTTCCTCCTTCATTTTGTTGAATGAGCTGAAGAAGATTCCTGAAACAAACTAATAAAACAATAAAATTAGTAAAATTCAATAACAAATAATTTTTAGCAACTGAACATCAAATACTATTTTGTGACTTGTATCTTCTTTCTTCTATTTATATTCAATTCATACCTGTAACAAACTCATTTATTGGATTAGTAAAATTAAAAAATAATTTATCTGCAAAAAAAGAAACATTATTATCAAAAGAAATCAAATTATAAGAAAACAAAATATAATTTGTTAAGTAATTCATAATTTTAAATGAGAAACATTGGTAAGGAACAAATATATTTTTTAACAATATTTTTAATAACAAACGCTCTTAATAAGGGAATGCTGAAAAAAGAAAGTGCTGAAAAAAAGAAAAAAAAATAGCCAGAAGGGCAAAATCCACTCAATACTGAAGCCGAACAAACCGTGAGTGGAACGTTTTTTTCGCAACACTAATATACTAAATTTTCAAAAAAAAAACGCGAAGAGTGCTTTATTTGTATTTGCAATGCAATTTCAACAAATAAAAAAAAAGAAAAAAATAGAAGACTCGCGAAAACGTACACCTTCGAAGAGGTGCTCTAATTATTTACGAAACTCTAATAAACTATTTTATGCACTCTCATTTTATTATACGCAACACTAATAGCGGAAGTTGCAGCCAATGCAGCCATATCAGAGGCTGCCGTCGTCAAATCACCATTGCGCAGCTCTTTGCTGCTTTGGTGATTCAGGAACAATTTCCACCATGTCAGTGGAAGAACTTTGGGCATATTGTAAAACGCAACACTACTTAAAAAACGCGTTCATTTATCAACGCAACACTACTTAAAAAACGCGTTCATTTGTTAACGCAACACTAATTCTAAAATAAATTTAATAAAAATTTACTATTACTGTATGAATGAAAAGCAATAAATATAAAATGCAAAGCTAGAAAATAAATTGAAAACTAATAACTCTGCAATTTAAATACAAAAAACAATCGCGATATTTTATAATTCGCAACACTATAGCAACGCGATCATCATTTTAACGCAACACTAATTCAAACCGTAATTGATCAATCGCAACACTAATTCAACCCGTGAATAGATTCTCGCAACACTAATAAAAATCGCGAAATTATTTCGTAATTCTAATCCAACCCGTAATTAATATATCGCAACACTAATAAAAAAATCGCGATGCCCACGATGACTGGATCTGGATGATGGGCCGGCATGCAATTCGGCCAGACAATGCACAACATTTACTACGTGATACTAAAACGAGCACAGTGACAAA